GGGGCCGCTCCGCTCTGCCGCGCCTTCTCCGAGCTGCCGCCCCTGACCTTGGCCGACATCAAGGAGCGGGTGCTCTACGTGCTCAAGCTCTACGATAAGATCGACCCCGAGAAGGTGAGCGCGACGGGGGGAGGCGGCAGGGCCGCGGGCTCCGCCGGAACCGGAGCGGCCGTGCCCGTGTCCCGCTGACCGCCGTGTCCTCCCCAGCTCACAGCCGAGTCCCACTTCATGAAGGACCTGGGCCTGGACAGTCTGGACCAAGTGGAGATCATCATGGCCATGGAGGACGAGTTCGGTAACGGTGACGGGGACCGGGGAGCGCTGGCCTGTGCCGTGTGGGGCAGGGAGAAACGCACAGGGCCAGCCCGGGAGCAGGGGGAACCTCCAGAGCCATCCCTGGGAGCAGGGTGAACCTCCAGAGCCATCCCTGGAGCAGGGGGAACCTCCAGAGCAATCCCAGGAGCAGGGTGAACCTCCAGAGCCATCCCTGGAGCAGGGTGAACCTCCAGAGCCATCCCTGGAGCAGGGGGAACCTCCAGAGAAATCCCTGGGAGCAGGGGGAACCTCCAGAGCCATCCCTGGGAGCAGGGTGAACCTCCAGAGAAATCCCCTGGAGCAGGGTGAACCTCCAGAGAAATCCCCAGGAGCAGGGGGAACCTCCAGAGAAATCCCAGGAGCAGGGGGAACCTCCAGAGAAATCCCCAGGAGCAGGGTGAACCTCCAGAGCCAGCCCAGGAGCAGGGTGAACCTCCAGAGAAATCCCAGGAGCAGGGTGAACCTCCAGAGCCAGCAGTGAGCTGGGCACCCCTGGGAGTTGGGAATGTGGCCCTCTGCTCCTGAGCTCAGCCCTTTTGGAAGGATGAATTCTCTCCCACCCCCCATGGGCACCACCCAGGGAGGGGGAAGGGGAGCAGTGGGTGCTGAGCTTGGCACTGCAGATCACAAATCCCAGACAGTTCAGGTTGTTCTTGCTCACCAGAATTTTTTTCATCCTTAATTGTACTAGAGAAAAAAAAAAAGATGTTTTCTCCTTATCAGTTTATATTCTTTTTTACTTCCCTTGGACTTCTTCACGCTTCCCTCTAAAGCTCATGAATTCTGGAGCAGGTACCTAAATGTCACCTTGGGCCATAGATGTCCCTGGGGTTTGGTCACTGTATAAGCCCAAGGTGGATGTTTCACTCTCAGAGCCTTCTCTGGCAGCGTGTCTGTAATCCCCAAGTGAGCTGTGAGTGTGGCCAGGAAATGCTAAAAAGAAGAGGCATTTCTGGAAATGCTAAGAAAGAAAAGGCATTTCTGGAAATGCTAAGAAAGAAAAGGCATTTCTGGAAATGCTAAAAAGAAAAGGCATTTCTGGAAATGCTAAAAAGAAAAGGCATTTCTGGAAATGCTAAAAAGAAAAGGCATTTCTGGGCTGTTTCTGACAGGTTCCACCACCAAGAGCCCTGGTGCCCTGTGCTGGTGTTTGCTCATGACAGCACACCTGGCCTGAGGGGCTTCAGGTGCTGTCTGGAGGTCCAGGAGTGTCCCCCTGTCACACATCCCAGTCTGGGGCTCTCTGGGAAGGCACTGGTGGCTTTAACGAGGCACAAGGGGCAGTGGCCCTGCTGTGCCTGCCGTGTCCCCTGTGTGGAAGTGCTGTCACTTTGGGCAGGGCAGTGGTGCAGTGCCAGCTCGGGCTGGCTGTCTGTCTGTCCCCTGAGCCAGCAGCCATCCCTGCCTCGCCCAGCTCCCACTTCCATCGGTTTTGGGCTGAGCGGGTGCCCTTTGTTGCAGGATTTGAAATTCCTGATGGAGATGCAGAGAAGCTGATGTGCCCTCAGGAGATTGTAGATTACATTGCAGATAAGAAGGATATTTACGAGTGAAGCAGTTCCTCAGAGGTGAGTTCAGGGGTGCTCTGAGGGTGCCTGGGCACACACAGGGCTGGGGGCAGAGCAGGGAGATGGGGGGCAGCTCGGAGGGAGCTGGCAGCAGCAGGGAGGGCGAGTGGGCTGTGCTTTCCTGAGGCTGGGGGGTGTTCTCCTGGGGCACCTGCAGCTGGAGAGAGGACGTGGGGCTCAGCCTCCCGTCCTGCCTGGCACATCCAGCACTCGGCTGCTCCCTGGGGCAGCAGGGGGTGGCAAGTTGGTCTCAGCCACGTCCCCCATCTCCCTGTGCCCCGGGGGCACCTCAGCCCTGCCGCCGCTGCCGTTTCCTCCGCACAGCCGGGAAGGAAATGGGCAGGAAAGGGTTATAGGAGCGACCGGGGAGGGCTGCAGGGGAAATGAGGTGGCCTCAGGCCAGCCTGCAGCACTGATCCACATTCTTGCCTGTTCCTGTGTGGCTCCAGGCTTCCCCCCAGCTCCCTGGGGCAGGGGGGCTGCGACCCTTCTCTGCCCAGGGCCGGGGTGGGGAGAACTGGGGGCTCCTTCTGTGCCTGTGTGCAGTGCTCAGCACGTCCCGACCCCCTGCTGTACCTGTGAATGCTTGATGAGATGTTAAAACGTGGATTTTGCTTTGCCAGGACTTGTCCCACACCAGGACTGGGCTGGTGCCGGCAGGGATGGATGGGAGCGCACACGCTGTCCCACTGAGGCCTTCATTGGGAAGCTGCACGTGGATGTTGTATTTAAAACTGTCTGAATGTGTTGTCCTTTAAAAACAAGAGAAAAACAGGAATAAAGAGTTAAGACCATTCTGGTGGTGGCTGTTCTGTCTCTCACAGTGGGTGGATCCTGGTGGTGGTGGTGGGGAGTGAAGGATGCTCTGGGGAGCCTGCCCTGAGATTTGGCTCTGCCCTGCATGTTTGTAACTGTTTATTTCATCGCTGCTGGTGAAAACAAGTTCTGTGTGAAAGGCTTCTGCTTTCCTGATGGAAAATAAGGGGGGGGGATGATTTTCCTGCTGCTGAACAGCAATTTCACATCACTGTTCCTGTACACCCGGTTCATCTCAGCACTGGAGCCTTGCTTTAACCCTCACGAGGCAGGAACAGGTTATTCCTGAGCACTCATTTTCCTCAGAGTGGAGAAACACTGACATATCACAGCAGCACTGGCAGGCTGGGAGCCAAGGAAGTGTCAGTGGATAACAGATTCTCTGGCAATGGGGGAGGTAAGGATGGAAAATGGAGCAGAGGCTGCAGTGCTGCTGTCTTGTGGTGGGCTGTTCTCAGGAGCTGCACTTCACTGGGATCCCTGGCAGACCAGTGACCCTCTGCTCCAGGGCACAAGTGTTGCCCCCACTGTGCCCTTGGAAACTTCTCCCTGGCTCCACAGCCTGGCTGAGCTCTGAGACGTTTTCTGAGCAGCTGCAGAGCAGAGCTGGGGACAGCGGGTTTGGTGCTGTGTCTGGGGTGGGTTCCCCGTGGGTTTGGAGCTGTGTCTGTGGTGGTCTCCCCGTGGGTTTGGGGCTGTGTCTGGGGTGGGTTCCCCGTGGGTTTGGTGCTGTGTCTGGGGTGGGTTCCCCGTGGGTTTGGTGCTGTGTCTGGGGTGGGTTCCCCGTGGGTTTGGTGCTGTGTTTGGGGTGGGTTCCCCGTGGGTTTGGGGCTGTGTCTGTGGTGGGTTCCCCGTGGGTTTGGAGCTGTGTCTGGGGTGGGTTCCCCGTGGGTTTGGAGCTGTGTCTGGGGTGGTCTCCCCGTGGGTTTGGTGCTGTGTCTGGGGTGGTCTCCCCGTGGGTTTGGAGCTGTGTCTGGGGTGGGTTCCCCGTGGGTTTGGTGCTGTGTTTGGGGTGGGTTCCCCGTGGGTTTGGGGCTGTGTCTGGGGTGGGTTCCCCGTGGGTTTGGTGCTGTGTTTGGGGTGGGTTC